GGCAGGCCTGCCAGCTGGGCTGTGCCCTGGGCCAGCAGCCCACAGAGGACAACGAGGCTCCCAATTAGAAACATCTCTCTTGGTGTCTGTAGACAGAATGACAAGTTCTCTGTGGTACAGATATCAGAGGATTCTCTGTACTGCATGCCCTATCCCCAGGGGATGGGATTGCCATTGTTGCCCCTGACCCCAGGGGCTGATATCTAGTAACAGTAGCTAACACTGCCACAGTAGTCTGTGCCAAGCCACAGGCTGATGCATTCAGTCACCAACTTCATCGTCACCACATCCTCAGATATGAGCACAGACAACCCCTACTGCACAGTTGGAGCACAGGCCTAGTGACTCTAGGCAGTTTTCCCCAAGGTCACTAGTTGCATCTGTGAGAGGCTCTGAAGCCATTCCTGCCTGGCCCAGAAGCTTCTGTTGAATTAGGTTTACTCTGGGGCTGTGGGACGTGACTGTGGTGGCCTGACCCATTGTCCTCACCCTGTTCTTCAGTGTGGATAAAGAGGCTCCCTCATGACAGAGGCTGAAGACCTGAACTGCTCGGCCATCATCTCTGCTAAGGGATGGTTCTTTGGTCTGTTTTCAGGCCATGATGGCATTTGGATACCATTAAGAGCAGCCGAATGTCTAAGGTCACATGACCATCACCCCATGATGGTCACCTTGTTAAAATTTCTTCCCTAGAACTTCTACTTAGGGCACAAGGATCTAGCTCACTGCTCTATCAATGTCTCCCTCTCCAGAAAGGTGAGAGAGTGGCCGGTCCCTGACCCAGTCATGGCCAGCTCTGTTTTTCTTGTAAGGTCCCCAGTTAGTGACAGTCCAATCTTCCAGCACCAGCCTACAGTGAGAGGCCTGGCCTTCTGCTACCCAGAGCATCTGTGCAGAGGAGGAAGGGGCAGGACTCACCTGAGTCTCAAGGTCTCAGTGGCCGTCCAGGAGGGCTCCTTCACCAACCACTTTTGCCAAGGAAGAGTCACCCACTTTTATACAATGGAAATTGGGAAACCTGATATTGGATGATGGACTTAGAGATAATACCAATTTCTGCCATTTGGAAGTGTCTTTCAGGGCCCTCCAAAGTAAATAATTGTCAATTATATTAACAGGTGAGTCAGTTAAGCTGTTTGGTCCACAAATTAAACAAGAAAATTTGAGATGAAGGCTTACTCAAGACTTCATGGTTTCACACATGAGGCATAGGTTGGAGACTCATGCTCACAAGTGGCTGGAGGATCAGATTTTCAGTGTTGAAAGGGAAAGTCCAATCAGGCCACTCGGGAACCTTTGTCTGGCTCTCATTGCTTGTGACCTCTTGTCCCCTGGTCTCATTCTTTCTATAGTTGGCAAACTCTTGTTCCCACGGTGTTAGGAGTCAAGCTACACTTGCCCTCCCAATCTCGAGTGACCCCTAAATTTCATGTGTGTGTGTGTGTGTGTGTGTATGTGTACAAGGGAGGTTTTTCCTTTTAAAGACCCCCAGTATATGTAGATGCTCATAAGATTTTGGGACAGAAAAGTCACTACTGTTTCATGGCAGAAAGGAAACCGAGACCAGGTTAGTACAAATGGTTCATAGGGGAAAGGCAGAGTTAGAAGCCAATTCTTTGGGTAGTAACAGCAAGGAAACCATGCCAGGAGTGAACACTGCTAGGCTCTAGCCTGTGCCAGGTCCACTCATCCTGGCAAGGTGGGGTTTGGGTTTCCACAGTGGGAAACTGAGGCTTGATCTTTATCCATATTTGTCTGCATTTTGATTTCCCATACTACACTTCCCACTTCTGTGTTCTGGAAACATCTTTCTGGGTTGGTAGGCTTGAGGGATCTTGCGGTTTTCTGGTCTCTTAGCCCTATCCTTTCCTCAGATAAAATAATGAAGCATTGTTCTCCACTCCTCAGGCCTGTGAAGTCCATTTTGCAGAGGGAAAAACCGAGTCAGGGATAGGCCAAGGTTTTGAATTGTGAGAACAATCAGGCCATGCTGTGTAGTGTGGGATTGCTTTGAAGTCACTATGAAGCCCAGGCTGACCTTCAACTTATCCTCCTGCTCAGACTTCTGGGTCCTGGAATTACAGTCATGCCCTTAGGCTTTGTCTGAGAGTAGGTCTTGCTTTGCACAGGTTCTTACTTTGGGTAAATCTAGGCAGGGAAGGCCTGGAAGAGAGTTGGATTGTGTGTTGAGTGAGTGGAAATCTCTGAAGTCAGGATGCTGGGTGTGGGTTATGGCAGAAAACATGGCAAGTTGAGCCTAGCTGTATGATGACCTTCCAGGCCACTCATTAGGGAAGCTCCTTCCTTCTGTGTAAGATGAGGATAGCCTCACACCTCAGGGTCTTGGGGAGAGCACTCTTGGGGAGCTAGTGTGCATCTTGCTTGGTAACGTAGATACCTGCGCATTCTTTGGATTTACCTATTTCTGATAGAATTTTGTTCATTTACAGTCTCAAGGGGTTGACCTTACCAAGTTACAAGAAGAGTTCTTGCTCTTGTCTATAAAAACAGGGACGTCATCTGTCACCTGGTTTCTTCTGATTTAGCATTTATCACTTACTGCCTCAGACACACAAGATTGTCTATGCCTTGTCTGTGCCCTTTGTAGGCCTCAGGAAGAACTATGGTGGGGGCGGCTGTTAGCCCAGCTGCTGCTGCTCCCATCTAAGCCTCTGGCTCACCATCTCTCCTTGGGTCATTTATTGTCTGGGCCCTGGTCAGGGGTGTGGACATAGGCATTCTCTGTTCCCTGCACTCAACATGTCTGTGGGGTTTCCTGAGTCCATCCATATTGAATTCTGTCTTGGAGGGATGTGTGATACCTTTTGGACCCACTGACACTATGTTCTCTTCAGTTCTTCTTGAATTACTCTCACCTCCACTCCAACATAGGGAAATGTCTAGTCTTGAGGGTGGGAACTCTTGTTTCACACCCCTAGATGTTTACTTTTGATACTCTGTCCCAAGTTTAAAGAGTCCAAGAGCAGGCAAACACACCAAAGGAACATTTGGTGAAGGTCATCTCTTCTTTCAGTGCAAACTTGTGTGGATTATAACTTAGTATGACTTTGCGTGACCATCGTAATAGGGCAAGGGCATTTGAATCAGAAACACTCCCCGTCCATTCTGCCATTGGTACCCACCTGCTCTCACTAGCTGGGCACAAACCCCAGACTTAGGAAACTTAATGCTTCACTTCTACTTCTGCTGGAATTACTCTTTGAGGAGTTCCATGCACGTCATGCTTGGTGCTCCAGCATGGACGCTCCTGAGCAGATATACAGCAGTGGGACACACAGAGAAGGTTCTTAACCCAGATTTCCCTTACAGGTGACACTGAGGGGTCTACTGTGCTCCAAAGAGACTGAGTGGCCTCCTTCTCCTTCCTTCCCATACATTGATTGTACTTAGGACCCTGTACTGGTGTGTGTGTGTGTGTGTGTGTGTGTGTGTGTGTGTGTGTACACCACAGTTTTGTTTTGGTTCCTAAATTAACCAAGTACAGAAAAAGATAATTTACTGAGGCTTAAGAAGAATCAATCTCATAAAATATAGCTCACTCACACCGGCTCCATGCTTTAAAGAGCAGAGCTGAGTTTTCTTGTTAAAATAATACAGCTTATCCCAGGTTCATTCTCTAGAACATGGGAAAGAGAAACATGAGAGAGAGATACAGAAGAGGTGAATTTGGGGAGGTTTTCAGAAGGGTAGGAGAGAGAGAGAGAGAGAGAGAGAGAGAGAGAGAGAGAGAGAGAGAGAGAG